TATTGGTTGATATCGCATGACCTTTATTTTGTAACTCCCACTTTACATGTGCGTAGTTAAATAAATGATACGTAGCAACGATATGTAAATCATGCAATACATATGTTACATCGGCTTTTTAGATATATAATGCAAAATTAATTTTATCTTTTATATAACCAAATATGTTTTAATTAAAGTTTGTATCGCTAGTACTGTACGTACGTACGTAACTACATGTAGTAGTCTCCGAGAGTACAAATATATAAATGAACGATACTGTATCAGTTACAGTATATGTTCGTGTGTAACCGTGACATGCTTTCGGGTGCTACTGTACATATACGTACGTACGTACGTACATAAAACTTAAAACTCCGAACGTGTCCATATAGAAAATAGAATAAAAATTTCTGAAGCCATTCAAATAAATTGGACTGTTTGAATATAACGCTAATAGCAAAAAAAGAAAACATGAGTAATTATATTTAAAGTGTAATTCCATAATCATAAGTTATAATTATGCATATTGACCCTTTAATATTTATGAATTAGCACCAGAATTTACAGAATTAGAAAAATATTTAAAATCGAAACAAATAGAAAGCTTTGTTTACTCGCAATTTAGTGAATTAACCCATATTGGTGCGGGAGGTTTTGCATCTGTTTATTCGGCAACTTTTAATGGACAGACTTACGCATTAAAAAGTTTAAATAATAATTTGAGATTCGAAAAGAAAGAGTTCAAACAATTTAAGCGTGAGGTAATTTGCTTAATATGTTACTCAATATTAGAATTTGAACTCACACTATCCTAAAATTACACAGATTAAATGTCTTTATACGATTGATAATCATCCAAATGTCATTAAATTCTATGGATACTCTAAAGGCAAGTGTTTACAATTGACCATGTGTTACCAATATAATATATAAGCAGCCTCTTTTACAAAAACTTGTGGAAGATATCAAAATCTGTAATTTTAATATGCATAAGTCTGGTATATTTCAAAAAATGTTTGAATGGTACCAAATGTTATGCTTTGTAGAAGGGTCAATAAGTATATTATTCTGGTAATATAATATTGGGATATTTTGTTCTGAAATATAAGAACAATATTTATAAGTTATAAGGCATCCAGTAATTGCATTTCATTAATTACAGTGGAAAATGATCAAATATCTAGTATGATATTGATCGATCGTACCATAGTTTATTGCTTGTCAATGTGATCAATTATCGAATGTATCATTAAATTTAATCCAGAATACTATTTTACATTATAAGCATGAAAATAATCGAACATGTATGTACGAGCACTATCGACGATCGATCAATAATACAATTAATCAAAAAATTTTGATCATTCACCATTTCTTGCATAGTTTTGATTACTATTCAATCGAATAATTATGCCACAAATTATCAGATGTTGTAGAATTTTTCTAACAAAAATCCCAATATATTTCACACTAAACTTACATTTCAAGCCAAATATTAGACATTATGACAGGTAATTTCATATTGGTGCTACAGTATGCCAATGGTGGCAATCTCCGAGATCATTTACAGAAAAAGCAACAAAATGGTGTTTATAAAATTTCCTGGGCCGATCTTATTCGAATTGCAAAAGAAATTACACTTGGATTGGACCATCTACATAAGAAAAAAATAGTACACCGAGATCTGGTAAAACTTATTTCTTTTAAATGCTTTAACTTTGCTCCAAATTTAGACTGACATTATTCTTAATTATTGTATATAGCATTCAATGAATGTTTTAATAGATAATGATAATAATGATAGGGCCCTGATTGCCGATTTTGGACTATCAAAACAATTAGATTCTGCTACTACTGGTGCTGCTTCAAGCACAAGCGTAAAGGGCTTACCAGCATACATAGAGCCACAATATTACATTCGTTATGAAGATAAAGTAGAAATTAATAAACAATCTGATATTTATAGTCTAGGAGTATTATTTTGGGAGCTCACAAGTGGAATCCCACCTTTCAAGAATCTTGGGAGGGATCAAATTCCTTTTAAAATTGCGAAAAGAATAAGGGAGAAAATCATTGACAATACACCCTTAGACTATGCTAATCTTTTTAAAAAATGCTGGGATGATGAACCAGACCAGCGACCATCTTTAGATCAAGTTTTAGATAAACTCGATAAATTATCAACGGAAATTACTGTAGAATTTATTATTAATCACATTAATAGCAATAATACTTCAGCAGCTTTAAATCCTTCCAACAGTTATACAAACACTAGCAACAGTAATGATGTTGGAGTTGTTTCTAAGAATATTTCAATAACAATCAAAACGGCCGAAGAGGAGAATATTAAAATTTTTGACTATAAAGAATTTAGCGAGCAGCGTAAGATTGGGGAAGGTGGATCTGGAATAGTATGTGAAGCTAAGTCTTTAATAAGACTAATAACGTCTTTACTTTTTTCAAATTCGAGTAGTCATTTGTAATTTTTCATTATACAGGAAAGTCAAGGATCTCTCCCGGATTTAAACGAGTCATTTAAGCTTAATCCAAATGATGCGAAAATATTGAGAATTCGTGGAGAAACTTTCCACTCGTTAGGCCTATATGAAAAAGCACTTATAGAATTAGACAAATCTTTAGAATTTGAGCCAAACAATGCATTAACATTAGGAAGCCGTGGTGCGACTTATTGTTCGATGGGCAGATATGAAAAAGCACTTATAGATTTAAACAAATCTTTAGAATTTGATCCAAAAAATGCATTAACATTAGGAAGCCGTGGTGTGACTTATTGTTCGATGGGCAGATATGAAAATGCGCTCACAGATTTAATTAAGTCTTTAGAAATAAAACCAAATAATGCATTTGTATTAAGAAATCGAGGAATAACTTATCGCTTAACACGCAGACATAAAGAAGCGCTTGCAGACTTAAACAAGTCGTTAGAAATTGAACCAGATAATTCAATAACATTATGGAATCGAGGTGTGGTTTTTCGTGAAATGTGTAGATATGATGAATCACTTGCAGATTTAAACAAGTCCATAGAAATTAATTCTAATGACGTATTTGCCTTAATATATCGCGGAGCAACTTATCGTGAAATGGGCAGATATGATGAAGCACTTGTTGATCTAAATAAATCGATAGAAATTGAACAAAATAATGGACTTGCATTGAGTGATCGAGGAGCAACTTATATACTAACGAATAGATACAAAGATGCACTTGTAGATTTAAATAAATCAATAGACATTGATCCAAATAATGAATTTGCATTATGGAATCGTAGAGAAACTTACCATAGTATGAGTAAATATGAAGGAACACTTGCAGATTTAAACAAATTATTAGAAATTAGATCAAATAATCCATTTATATTAAAATATCGAGGAGCGATTTATCGCTTAATGGGTAGATATGAAGAAGCACTTGCAGATTTAAACAAATCATTAAAAATTGAACCAAATAACGCATCTACATTAAAAGTTCGTGGTGCAACTTATATATTGATGCATAGATGTAATGAAGCACTTGAAGATTTTAATAAATCATTAGACATTGAACCAAATGATGCATGGGCGTTGAAAAATCGAGGAGTAACGTATCGCTTAATGGGTAAATATGAAGAATCACTTACAGATCTAAACAAATCATTAGAATTTGTACCAAATAATGCATTTGCGTTAAGAAACCGTGGGTCAACATATTTCTTGATGGATGAATATGAAAAAGCACTCATAGATTTAACTATGTCGTTATATATTGAACCAAATAATGCATTTGCATTATGGAACCGTGGAGAAACTAATCGCAAGATGAACAAATATAAAGAAGCACTTGTAGACTTAAATAAATCATTAGACATTGAACCAAATAATTCATTTGCATTAAGAGGTCGTGGTGCAACTTACCGTGATATGAATAGATATGAAGAAGCGCTTAAAGATTTAAATAATTCATTAGAAATTGAACCGAATGATGCATGCACATTAAGAAATCGTGGAGTAACTCATCAAATGATGAGTAAATATGAAGAATCACTCGCAGACTTAAGTAAATCGCTAGTAAATAGACCTGATAACGAAATTACACTATACAACCGTGGAGTAACTTATCTAATGATGAATAAATATGAAGAATCGTTTGCAGATTTAAATAAAGCATTAACAGTTAGATTAAATAATGTAATAACATTAAATAATCGCGACCTAACTTATTCTACAATAAGAAAACGTGATGAATCACCTGTAAATCCAAACGAAACATTGGAAAATGAACCATCATACAATATTCGGAATGACAATGAATTTTATGTAAATATTTGTCAACAATTGAAGAAACTGATTGATATTTGGCGACAAGATGAAACTAAATTAATAAGCACTTGTGACAAAATATTGGATATATTTACGAAGTTTGCAGAATTTGAAAATAAAAATATTATCCTTAACAATGAATTAATTCCAATTATTAAACTTCTAGAAATACATA